TGATGCAGGGTAATGAAGGTAATTTAATTATCTATTTGAACATAAAGATAAATGGCGACTGTATATGATGACTGTTATTGGATTTCCACTAATAATAATAATCATTGTGTAAATTTAATTAGCAGACTGGCTTACTGCTGTATATGGCAAACATTTTCTCACTTGCAAAGAAATGCGAGAGTCCAAAGAATAATACGAGATGTGAATACAGTGTATGTGTTCTTCAAATGTTCGTACGTATTGCAATAATTCCTTTTAACAACATGATAATAAAACAGCATACGTAGATATGTTTCTTTGATTCTGTTTTCTTTTGTAGGATCTGTTTTTTTTTTTTTTAACAATAAAAATAAAGATCCTTTTTGGAGGATTAATATATAGCACGAAAAATTCTCTGAATTGAAATATTCATTGACTGTGAGATTTAGATCCAACCAATTCTGTCATGTGCTGTGCCGAACGAGTTGTGAATCCTTTTCTGCGTGATTGCCTTTGGTTCCTTTTTGTAAAGATTTGAAATTCTTTTTTCACATTAACATATTGGTGTTTGGGACTTTTTGATAATTGTAAAGAAATTACTTGATAATTACCCGTTCAGATATCATATTTCATATCGCATAGATCTATGTCTATTAAAGCCTCGTTAAAGAAGAAACTTTATGATTCAACAATTGTATATTAATTGTCTGCCTCTTTAGTGAAAACACACATATATTTTGCAAGAGCGTTGAAAAAACGAACGTTTCATAAAAGTGAATGATTAAAGTTACTGTTTAAGGTGTTTGAAGAAGCAATGTTTCTATTACTATTATATACCCTTTTTCAATTTTTCTATTACTATCTTACATAAATATCAAAATGATGGTTTTTTGGATGAAACATGTTCTTTGACATCTTCAAATGTTCTTAGAGCAAGAAGTTTGTTTAATAATAATCAAATTAAAAGGAAAAAAAAAAAAACAATAATCAAAAGGATTGAATGATTTTTATTTGAATTTCGGATTTCATCAGGGATCTTTTTGATTTCAAAACTTGAATTTTAAGCTATAAGCAAAAAATTATTTATTATTATTATTATCATTATTATGAATTTCGATTTCGATTTCGATTTCGAAAGATTTTAATTTTATTAAATCATGTATGATTCATACAAGTTACTATGCATAGCAATCGTGGGGACACACACCTGGAATATATACCCATTATTTTATACCACAGTGCATACCATTACTAGGAGACAGTCGATCAGGGACCCGTAATTGCTAATTCATTAGGAGCCATTCAGAGGATCCAGATTGTTGAAGTCTTTCCTTGTTTAACCTTTTTTGTCAACAAGAAAATGGCACTTTCAAGGTGTGAATGAATGGATAATTCTATTAAATCTGACACCGAGTTCAATATTTTGCATTTTACTTTACCAGAAATAATTTTTAAGGCACTCTATAAACTTGAAACCGGAAGGGAGAACTATATTAACATTTCTATGGACCACAGAAACTCGCCATTTCTGGACGGTCTTTTTATTATTTATTTATTTATTAAATAAAAAGGGCAAGTAGAAAAGAATGGAAATTTATGTTTTTCTTTAAGAAATGTGTATGTCCTTTGCTGACTAGAGGTTTTTTCGAAATTTGCTTTATAGTAATAATAGCAATTGTCCTTTTTATTACCAGGTATATTCTTTTTTCAATTACACCAAGATTTTTGTTTATTATTGTGAAATGTCACGCAATTAATGTGAATTTGTTTGTTACCTCAAATATATGCCATGCTTCAATTGTTTTGGTGTCGTCTTCCGATTGGAAATCGATAATTATTGTTTATAAAAGATAGATAAAATAACAAAAGCTTATTATTTTTTCTCAATCCAAAAAAGTTGTACAAGAGTTGTATGCATTTATTATTATTATAATATAAACAAACATATTGTGTATATATATATGTAAAGAATTAAAAAGTTGTTTTTTCTATTCCCATAAAAAAAAATTTTTTTTTCAAGACACCAAAAATAAAATAAAAAATATTAATCTATAATAATAATGTCTACTGTTGTATCAAAATCAGTTCTTGAAGTTCTTTCACTTGCACCAGATGAGTATAGAAAAAGAAAAGTTGCTCTTTTGACCGGTAATTAATTAAATTGATAATTGGAATAATAACAATTGGAATAATAATTGAGAAAATTAATTAATTAAACAAAAAATTAATTTAGGTATTACTGGTCAAGATGGTTCTTATCTTACTGAATTCCTCTTAGAAAAAGGTTACATTGTCCATGGTATTATTCGTCGTTCTTCATCATTCAATACTGGTAGACTTGAACATTTATACAAAGATCAACATGAACGTAAGTGTTAAATAAAAATCTTTTTGATAAAATATATATATATATATGCAAACCAAGTTAATGATTAATGATTTCCCCCCAAAATGTATCTAGGTCCAAAAATGGTTCTTCATTATGGAGACTTGACAGATTCAACTAATCTTGTTCATATTGTTTCACAAGTACTTCCAACTGAAATTTATAATCTTGGAGCTCAATCTCATGTCAAAGTTTCTTTTGATATGGCTGAATATACTGTGAGTTCGTAGAAAAAATTAAATATTATATATGTATATATAATTGATTTTGTTAATTGATGATTATATTTTAAATTGATTATTTTTTAGGGTGATGTTGATGCTTTAGGAACTTTACGTTTATTAGATGCCATAAGGACTGTTGGTTTAACAAATCATGTTAGGTTTTATCAGGTAACGATTATTTCCCATATCCACACACAGCCTCATTTATACAAACAATTAATAAATCAATGCTCATCTCTCTCTCTTTCTCTATCTATTCATCTACCTATCTACCTCGTTACGTGTTTATAGGCATCCACATCTGAACTTTATGGTAAAGTTGTGGAAACTCCACAGTCAGAAACCACACCATTTTATCCTCGTTCACCCTATGGCGTAGCTAAACTTTATGCCTATTGGATTGTTGTCAATTACCGCGAAGCATACAATATGTTTGCTTGCAATGGTGTTTTGTTCAATCACGAATCTCCACGTAGAGGTCGTACTTTTGTAACTCGTAAAATTTCTAGAGCCGTAGCTGAAATTCACTTAAATAGACAAAGCTGCCTATATCTTGGTAACATTGATTCTAAGCGTGATTGGGGTCATGCAAGAGATTATATTGGTTAGGACATATTACATTTATTACATTTATTTATTATCTATAACATATTTACATGATGCATGATAATTTATGACACAAAAAATTATTATTTATTTCCTTCTTTCAAAAAATCAGAGGGGATGTGGTTGATGTTACAACAAGATCAGCCAGATGATTTTGTTTTGGCCACAGGTGAAACTCACACTGTCCAAGAATTTGTTGAAAAAGCATTTGCTGTAATTAATAAAACCATTGTTTGGAAAGGCGAAGGTGAAGATATGGTTGGAAGTGAAGCTGACACTGGAATAGTTCGTGTGCGTGTAGATCCAAAATACTTTCGTCCAACTGAAGTTGATCTTTTACTCGGTAATCCTACTAAAGCTTATAATAAACTTGGTTGGAAACGTAAAGTTGATTTTGATTCACTTGTAAAGGAAATGGTTTTGGCTGATATTGAGGGAGCCAAAGTTAATTCTGAAAATTAAAAATTTTAATTTATTAATTTATAATTAGATTTTAAATTAATTAAAAACTAGTCATTTATAATAGCATAGAAATTCAACAACAAAAATAATAAATTATTTTAATAAAAATATAATGAAAAAAAAAACTATTATTAAGGAAATTACAATTAAAAATGAATCAATACTATGTGTAATATAATAAAATAATGAAAAAGGTTTAAGTGAAATTTAAGATTGTCTCTGTCTGCAACATGATGATGGACTTGGGTAAAGCAAAGTCAACAGAATCTTTTGTTAGTAGGAAACCACAAACGATTTGACCATTCTTTAACCTTTTGAATTTCAATGAGGTAATGGAGTCATTATGAAAATAATTTGAATAAAGTGATAATATAGCAAATTTAATTTTAATAAAGTTGTGTTTTTTTAAAGGTTTCCCGCTTAATTTTCTTTTCGATTCATCGTACTGTAACCATTTTGGCGGTAAAATAACAATGAATTAAGTTCTGGAGTTATTTGTATGTAATTGGTAAGAATATAAATGCCTGCAAATTTAATAATGATCATGAGGTTTATTGACATTTCGTGAGAAAAATTTATAGATATATAATAAAGATTTATATTTTTTTTAATAATAATAACAGACCATCAATAATTTTTTGTTTATCAACGTACTGATTGTTAAATTTCCACCGTCAATTCAAGTAATTAATCTCCATATCAAATCAAATCCATTAGGATAATGATAAGTTTCTTGTACCCTTGTGATTGTAGGTTGTGAAACACTAGTGTCAGTCAGTATTGTAAATTAACCAAAATGCACCATTATCGTCCGATAATCCAGATGATTTCGCCAGCAACAGTTTCAGGATAAGCTCGTTAAAATACTATGGCAGTGTCATTTATTATTTCACCAGTTACCGAACTTCATCGTATAACATACATGTTAACACATAATCTAAAATAATGTGTAAGGAGTTAAAGAAAGAAAGAAGCCCTAACAACTTGAGAAAAAAGATTTATATTAATTTCATTCTAGAAATACTCTGGAAATATTCCATAGGTTTTTAAAGCACGGATCATCAATATTTTATTTAACCGTTTATTTTATTAAAATAAAAGTGTGATATGATGTTTGACTGACAGTAACCATTACGTGTGAAGTGATATCCACCCGATTATTTGACCTCGCCAAATTGTATGTCCTCGAACGTCTGTCTATATCTAAATTTACATATAAACTTGTGTGAAGTTCCAGAGTGTAATGAAAAATATTCACGAGTTTTTGGTTTTAATTTATGAATGCCTCTCCCTGTTCGTATTCTACAACACTTTCCAGATCCAAAACCCGATTTTTTCATCGTCTACCTAACAAATGAAAAAACGCAAGTCTCTAGTATTACTAATAACTTATAAAATGTACCACCTTCATATTTGGACAACTCTTCAAGTTGAGCATCTGTCCTTTTAATGAGATTAGTATATCCTTTATGAGAGTTGTATACACGATATTCTTTGGCTTTTGTAATGCGCTCCTTGAGTTTATCCTAGAGAAACATTCACAGAATTAAATCTTCTGTTATCCTATGCAACGCTGATGTATTTAGCTATATACAAATTACTTGCATCGGCAAGTTTTCTAGTAGAATGATTCAGAATAAAGCTTGACTTTGATACTCCAGGTTCTAGGTTAAATGCACTTCCTTTGGTATTTCTTTTGGCGAGACGAATTAGCTCGTTCAAATTGAATAATTCCTTCTGTGTTTTTAGCAATTTCACCTCTTGAAATAATTTCAAAATATCTCCTATATCACTTTTGATGGCTGCTTTATCGAAAAAAAGTCTGCTTGGTTTTATTGTGATATAATTCGGGAGAGAATATTTGAAACAAGAGGGAGGGATATATGGTTGGCGCGGTAAATCCTATTTGCTGTGCCACATGGCCAAATAGATGGTAAATCGATAATCAATAAAATCAATAAAATTCAACACTCGGATAATCGGTGATTACTTGATTATTCATTGAATATCCGCTGAATAAGGCTCCGAACGAATCAATGAAATTCAAATCACCTAATCTTTATAAAGAGTTGCCTTTGGAAATAAATGGTTTCGAAAGTCAAAAAAAAAATATTTGTCTAGTGCAATAATTGCATTTGGCTTTTCTGTCTACAACCATAAAATGGTTCCACGCTTCACCTCTTGTTCTTCTTTGAATACATTGCATCGTGTAATTGAAGAGATAATCGATTTCAACAATGCAATTATCATCATTCATCATATTTATTATTTAAATTTAGTTTGCAATTGTACCTTTTATTTGTTATAACTTCTATTCGTAATACAAATTTTTGCTGTTACTATTTTAATAAATTTGGTTTTTTTTTTTTTTCAAGAAAAATAAAATTCTTTCAAAATGTCAACTAGTTTTTCAACGTTAGAGAATATAAGCTTATTATTTAACAAATTTATAAAGTCAAATAAAGATGCTCTATCATTAAAATATATTAGTAAACTTTTAAATGATTTAACAAAGTTGTTGATTGAAACAGATTATTATGATGTAGAAATTAGAATTGGAGAAGGTCTGGATGTTAGAACTTTTAAAGCTCATTCTACCATTTTAAAAGCAAGGTCTTTGTATTTTAAAACCGCTTTCTCAGATAGTTGGATTAAAAAATCTGATGATGGTAGTATTATATTATTTGAAAAAAAAAATATTTCTCCAAAAGTATTTGAAGTTATTTTGGTGTAAGAATTACAGTATTTATTTAATTAATTAATTAATTAATTAATTAATTAATAATTATAATAATTTTTTTTAACTTTTTTAATTTTTTTAATTTTAAAAGATATATTTACAATGGAATTATAAATCTAGATAAATTGAATCCAAAAGAAATTCTTGAACTTCTTGAAGCATGTGATGAATTGGATTTTAATGAATTAATTGATGATTTACAAAATCACTTGATAGTTGAAAAAAAAGATTGGATTCAAGATAATTTAACTTATGTTTATAAATTTTCATCAGATCGTCAATTGTTCAATTTACTTAAAGATCATTTTGATGAATTAATTTATGACAATCCTCAACTATCTTTAAAATTTGATTATTTTAATAATATTGACAAATCTATCCTTACATCTATATTAAAAAGAAATAATCTAGAAGCAAAAGAAATTGATATTTGGAATTTTGTTATTCAATGGGCTATAGGACAAAACAAAGAATTAAACAAAGATATTTCAGAGTGGAACAATGATGATTTTATCATATTAAAAAATGTATTGGTAGATATTATTCCATTGATAAGATTCAATCATATCACTTCAACTGATTTTCATGATAAAATTGCACTATTTAAAAAATCATTTGATAAAAAAGTATACAAAGAAATTCTTCAACATTATCTCAGTGATGATTGGAAAACAAAATTATTATTTCAAAAAGGTCCAAGAACAAAAGCAAGAGGAAAATTATTAAATTTAAAAATGATATGTTTAATTTCTAGCTGGATTGATGAAAAAAATGATTTGTATAATGCAAATACTTTACCTTATGAATTTAAATTAATTCTCAATGGAACTCAAGATGGATTTTCTAAATCTGTCTTTGAGAAAAAATGTTATGATGTAGAACAGACTATAGCAATTATGAAAATTAAAGAAACTGGAGAATTATTTGGTGGTTATAATCCTGTTGGCTGGAATATTAAAGGAAAGTTTCCATATGAAGGATATTACATTGAAACAAATAAAAGTTTTATTTTTAAAATTAACAAAAACCAAATAATGAATTCAATAATAAACAGAGTCAAAAATTCAAAAAAAGCAATAGAGCATAGTAAACCAAATCTTGTAGCTGTAGATGATATGAAATTTGATGAAAATACTATAGATTTTTACAATTTTGGATCATGTAATAGCATTAATAACAATCCTTATTTTTATTGTTATTATCATAATTCTGATGATCCTTATGAAAACAATTTTGATTTTATAAATAAGGATAAATATGGTAAGTTGTTAGCATTAGAAGCATTAGAAGAATTAGAAGTCTATGAATTAGTAAAGAGTGAATGATTTTTTTTAAACCATGTTTATTTATGTCATAAAAATTATCAATTTTCAAATTCTTACAATAAAATACATGTATAACAATCTCCATAAATTTCCAAATCAACTATGTAGATAACAAAATTCATACACTTAATACTACAAGATTTACAATCAAAATACTAGTTTTTGAACCTAATTCAACAGCTGGTTCTATTCATAGATTCACTTAAGTTATTGGGGTGTGTGACATTCTAAGGATATCAAAGCTAGTTATTTCTAAAGTGATCAAATCATTTAAATTCCTTTGTTTTAAATTTAATCTGAGAATTAAAGGTCTGTTACATTTTAGAATGTTAGAACATTTAATTTCCGTTGTTTGTGGTATTTTTCACGAGTCAATTATTTTATTGAAATTTGACTACCTGTCATAAAAATGAATCCTGGTATTCCTTATTAAGGCTAATAAATACTTCATATCATCTAAAAGCATTTTGATAATTTATATTCCTTAGATATGAATCAGTACAACATGTTGCATTATTTAAATATGAAAGGTAGTTATTTTTTTGTGTTTGATTCAAAGAACATTCGCCTACATTTTCTTCTGGCGAGTTTTATAATATATTCTTCAATATGAGCATTAGTTAAAAGATAAACATCATCAAGATGCCCAGAAATATCTTTTTCATCAATTGAGTGAGGGGATTTGTGTTAATTGTGCAGAAAATTTCGCGCAACAAAATATAGATAGCAATTCCACTTTTTGTTACAATAAATCGCTGATGTCTTTGGGTATATTTTCCTTTTTTTTTATTAACAAAAAATCACAATGCTTTCGGTTATAATCCCATTTTTTTTTTTGAATACAAAAATAATACAAATACTTTTATTTATTATCGATTTTTTTAACAAATATACGGTGAATCTCGATTTAGCGATACTAATTAAAAATCTCGGTTTTACGGATAAAGTTCAAAGAACGATTCCATAATGAAAACCTTCTCGATATAGCGGAAATCTCAGTTTAACGGATTTTTGGAAAATTTTCCCTAATACTAATACTAATTGCCCGAACTATCCGTTAAACCGAGATTTACTGTGTACAGTCAAACCTCGATAAATGAACTACCATAAACCGATTTTCGCTTTATAACGATGCAAAATTGGTTAACCCAAATCATATTTAATAAAAATTATTTCGTTACTTGATAAACCGAACTTAATGGTTTGTACAAAATAATAAAAATATAACTTTCTAAGCCAAATATGATCGTAAACCGGTTTTAAAAATTCGTCTTATAATGATAAAATTCTAATAAAAATACGATATATTGCATTAATTCAACCAACAGAAATAGAAATAGATGAACAACAAACAGGATCCCAAAAATTTCTATTACAGATACTATATATTGGTGTTGAAAATTTATTAAATTTTTTAGTATATCTTCCAAGTGATTTTGATGTATGCGAAGATGAATTAAAATGTATTTATACTCTTGAAAAAAAATTATCAAGTCATATGGTTAATAGTTCCGTGCAACAATCTTTAGATAAATATTGTATTTTATAACGTTGTAAGCCGAATTTATTTTGAACAATTGATAAAAATCGTTTTGTATCCGGGGCTGGTTTGTGTAATTCAAATAAGTATTTGGCTAAACTGACTAAACTATTTAGTCATATGTTAAGTCAAGTTTAGTCAAGTTTAGTCAAGATGATTATTACTAAATTAGGGGTTTAACCTTTACCTGTTAACCGAATTTTTTGATTTGTGTAAATTTATTATGCAACACAAAACCGCATTTCAACATTGTTCATAAAACGCAATCTAATCGAATTTGATACATGGAATCAAAAACGTACTAGCATCATTTCAATCATGAATTCCGTCCGTACGGTTTATATATCTCGTAACTTATTATTTATTACGTTAAATATTATTAAAAAGAGCAAGGAATAATCAACCCTAATTTAATATTACAATAATTCATTACCTGAAATAAATATATAATAACAATATTGTTGGAACGACAGCTATCAACCCCGTCAAAAAAGCCTTTTCCTGGATTGAATTATTTAAATTTTTTAATACTACAAGTTATCTTCCAAAACAACTAAATCCCTTTTATTCTCATCATAATAAATTATATTTCCTCTTGTTCATGCAACTTTATAAATTGAACTAAAACCACCTTCAGTCAACTTTATTACTTTTTTAAAAGGTATCCATTCTAAAATATAAATTGGCAAAGTTATCAATTATGTTATTTCAAGTGGTGAAAAGATTCTGTAATTGTAAATTAATACAACCTCCACAGAGTCTATCAGAATATTTTGTCAATTTACACTTGTTACATTCTTTTGGTTTGTCTTCCTTTACCTCTTGCATTTCTTAACTCAAACCATAAATAAATCTTTCTTCACAACATTCTTTATCATTTTCAGAAATAATCTTTTCGACTTTCTTTATCAGAATTGGCCAAAGCATTATGATATATTTCAGCATGAATTTTAAATACAAATTCCACTCTTTCTGGTGATAATAATTTCTTGTATGACATGACGTAAGGATAAAAATTTAAAATTTGGTGAGAGCGGAGAAAATGAGTTTTATTTTTGGGTAATAACATTATCTCCTTTTTTTTATTTGTGGAGAACTGAATAGCGTGCAACAAACAATTCTCCTGTGATACATTAATGGGGTAAAAATAGTTTATCCTATATATTACTATAATTGATTACTGTCATCATGGTATATATAGTTTTCACACTAATAAATTAATAGTATCTCTTAAACGGTTGATAGCCGATAAAATTTTTCTTTAAGCATATCATTTCCTAATATGAAAATGATCTGTAAAAAAAAATTCGGGTTGGTCGATTGACTATTTTTACTTTTGCTGATTGTTAAAATTGACCAATAAGAATGCGAGATCGTGATTTGGCGTTACCATTAAAGAATACTCTGACCGTTTAGTGATAAATCTTAATAAAAATTGCATTATTTTAAAGAGCATCTTTAACATCAACAAGTGATTGATTCGTCATGATTCTAATAAAGAAGTTTAGCATTCTTCTTTTTCTTTGTTTACGATTTTTATCACTTTAAACTTCAAAATCAAACTTACAAATAACTGTACCTAAACTGTCTAGCGTACTATGTAAAAGTCATTATACGTACGTACCAATATTACCATCATCCTATTACTATGTGTGTTTCAAATTCAGACGTTCAAGCACATTATCAATATTATTGTGTATTACTATTACGAGTAGTTGACTAAAGTCGAAAGTTTCGTCATACATCATAATGAATAAGCTATAAATTTTAATTTATGTATGATTATTTAAATAAATTGTATATAACAATATTTCATATATCAGGTAATTGTAATCTTAATTTAGGCCGGTATTATAATTTGGGCGTAATATTAATTTATTCCAGAGTTATTGGCTTTTAAAAGTCATGTGCTTTATTTGAAACATATACAATGCCCCGTAAAAAAAGAACCATATAATAAGAGAACAAGGAGAAAAAGAGCACCGGTAATACCAATAATGCTAACAATAATAACAATAATGTTACTACTAATAACGACAAATGCTAATATTAATAACGTTAATGACAACACAATATATGATTACAGGTAGAGGAATAAGGATGGAGGATGGTTGTATAAATATATATAGGTTGTGGGTCGTGGTTTAAATTCCATGATAGTAAAGAAACCGCGTAAAATTAAAAACTTTAATATTTTTTTTGTTATTAAATCACGTAACAAGCTTGCAACTGCTAGTATACAAATAATTATCCTCCATTATTATTCTCTCCTTGCAAGTTTCTCTTGAAAACTTTTGACTTGTTGTGCAATATGTATAGCAACCCAAGATGACTTTACACACCAAAACCTTCCTTCAAGGATTAATTGAAACAAGAGGTCATAAAGTCATCTTCTACCAGAAATTTCACTGTGTATTGAAAGATATTAGGAAGCTGCTAATTGATATGTTGGGGAACATTGCAATTACATTTGGAAACTTCTTCAAGCAAATGTTTCGAATGCCTTTAATTCAATAGCAATAGTAATGAAGCAAATTAGAAGATATGCGTCAAGAGCTTCAAAATTACATGAATTGCTATAGGAAAGTGTTAATTTTATTCCAAGCTGAACATGCAATTATAAATAATTCGTGAAACGTATATGAAGCATGGGATTTAAGTTCAGGGCGTATTTTACTAATTAAAAAGAAATAGCCGATTGTGGTTTGTTAAATTGTTATACAACATACAAATTTTACATTTTAATGCAAATTATCTTCATTATTATTTATTAATTTAAAAAAAAAAAAAAAAAACTATTTGGGAAGTCGAGATTTCCCATGACATTAATTATACATAATAAGTCATTGAAATTTGGCCGTTAAATGGGGCGATCATATATGTGCCTATATATAAAAATAATTGATTAACCATTTTTGAAAATTTTTAAAAATAAAAATAAACATTTGGCGCAGATTTTGCCCACATTTTATTTGTCTGCCATATTTATACATATTGTTACATACTAATTACCATATCTTATAAATATAATCATAATCCCTTGTCAATAATCAATTTTTTCCAATTTTTTTTTTAAAAAATATTTTACATAAATAATATTATTATTTAAAACCAAACCATCGAAGATAAAAAGTATATTCATATTACATTTACATTGCATATACATGATAAATTATAAATTACAATAAATAAGTAATTAATAAAAATTATCACGTCAGACGTTACATTTAAAAATCATAGATTATCTATGATATAATATAACAAACATTTTACTGAATTTATTATTATTATAATGTCTTCGCATATAATAAATAACACCAACAAAATTAACATTAATAATAATAATAAACCAGTAACTTCTTTATTGGAATTTGATTCTAATGTTCCTTATAATATATTTATAAGGAACTTAAAATTATTAAGAATCGGTCAAGTTGTTGTAAATTTTGACATAACACTTGAGAAAAATAGGATAATATTTCATGGCTCGCCTGATGACAGTGAAATAAGAACTGTGAGAGGTAAAGTTAGGCTTGAAGTGGCTGGTAAATTAAATGTCAAGGTAAATAAATAAATTATTTAATTATTAAATTATTATTTAATTAAATTATTTATGTTATTAAATTATTAAATTATTTATATTATTAAATTATTATTTAAATTATTTATTTATCTATTTTTTGCTATTATTATTAGGAAATCATTCTATCACTTGTAGGTGATTATGATATTTCATTAGATTTATTAAATGATGCATCATCATCATCATCATCACCAAAAAATCAAGGAACTATATTTTCAAGTTCCATATTATTAGAAAATAAAGGAACATTATTACAAGGAGTTCATGACTTTCATTTCGAATTTCTTTTGCCAGGAGACTTGCCAGAATCAATGAATTCAGATGCAATTTTATGTAAATATTTTCTTAAAGCAGAATTAATAACCAGACCTCCATGCGAATTGTTAACAGAGAATAACAAACTAGTTGACATTGTTGATCTGTTTATCGAAAGAGCTATGCTAGAGTCCGATGATGATATAAAAAGAGGGTTAAAGCCAACAAGATTCATTGGTGGAGATAATGATTTGCTTGATTTTGAATTCATATTACCAAAAATAATGAAATTAAATTCAAATTCAATTGAACTTATTGCTAGATGGGATGGCTTTAAAAGAGTTGAAAAGATTAGTTTTTGTTTTGTTCAAAGTGAATGCTACAGTATCGCAAATAATAAATGTATTGCTCACAATGAAAAACCAATTGCTGGTCCATTTTATTTCCAATTACCAAAAAAGGAACCATTGGAACTTCAAAGTAGACCAATGATATTTAAATTACCAATATGTGAATCTTTTGTAAATGACTATGATTTGGTCAACGTTAAAATAAGACATCAATTAAATGTCAAAATTCAATTAAGTAACTTTGGTAGAGATCAAATAGAATTCAGGTTGGTAACCATTAATATATATATATATACATAATCCATAATACATGGCTATAACCATCAACTAATTATTTATTTTTATCAATTTGTTCAATTATCCTTAGTATTCCAATCTCAATAAAGTCAATAATACCTAATCCAGATACTTTGCCATTACCTCGTAAAATTGATCTTTCAAACAGTGTCGCTTATTTACAATTGGGAAATAAAATCTATGCAAGTAAACCATCAAAAGTAACTAATAAAACCAATAAACGGTCCATATTTAAATTATCATCAAGAATATTTAATAATAATAATGCTGGCAAGGTTAAGATTAGAAATAATGTGAATATTAGTACTGACAGTAACATTGAACCAAATTTACCAAGAACATCTAGCATTAGTCAAAGTAAAAGTTCATTATCAAAAAAATCATCATTTGATATTGAATCAAAAATATTGAACAGCGATGATAATAATATCAACGTTAGCATTAACAAGAGCAATAGTAATAATTTGATACATAATCCATATATTGGAAATGATGATATAATAGAAGAAGAAGAAGAGGAGGAGGATGACGATGATGAATATAGTGAAGATGATGATGACAATATTAAGGCTAATACTACAATGACTGCAGCAACAACCATTACTTATACTAATAATAACAATAGTAGTAATAATAATAATAAATTTAATGTCAAGGAATTCCATAAACCAAATTTTATTACTTCGTCAGCAAATATTGCAGCCGAAAAATTTATTAAATTCAATTATTTATTACATCAAAGACACAATCAACAAAATAAGAATTTTCACGAAGACAATGTTAATGATAATGATAATAAAATAAACGATCATCATTATCACAAATCTCCACTTACCAAACCACCTAAAAGAAATAGCAGAATCAGTAGAGCTTCATCTACTTCTACTTGTGTACCTTCTGATGTAAAATATTACATCAAAAATTTAAATCATTATAAACCCATCAGCAATAACAACAACAGCAACATTATTGATATTAACGATGGCATTATCTCATAATTTTAAAAATGTTACTAGAATGAAAAATTCGTTCGTTCGTTCGTTCGTTCGTTCGTTCGTTCGTTCGTTCGTTCGTTCGTTCGTTCGTTCATTTATTCATTCTTTATTTATTTATTATTATTTTTTTGTAAATTTATTCAAAATCAAAAATCTCTCACTCTCATTTATTTAATAATAATAAGGATTAATTAATTAATTCTTTTATTCATTCATTCATTCAGTTATATACCTTATATTTAAAAAAATAAATATAAGGATATAACCAAAGTATTTATATTTGTGTGTGTATTCATAGAATAAAATAAATCAAAAAAATTTTTTTTTCCAAAATAATTTTTTTCATAGATTTTAGTATTTAGAAAAAAATTGATTTTATATTCATCATCAAAATTAATTTAAAATACTCACCACCATTCTTTTGTATATACACATTCACACTCTTTTTTTTTGTATATTGTATAAAAAAATTTATATATTTACTACTCTCTTTTTATTTTATGAATTTATTTTAATTTGACAATAATTTCATCATTCACTCATTCATTAATTTGTTATTTTGTCTTCACTTAACATTAAAAAAAATTCTCACATTCATTCAATTAAAAAAGTAAAATAAAACAAATAAAAAAATGTTAATAGTAGATAAATTCTTACATTTATTTCTATATTAATAGGGCCAACTTGGGTCCTGATTGTTGTAAAATCAATTCATTTGTATCACGTCATTATCAATGACACGTTTTGGCATTTAATATTAATTAAATATTAGTATTAGTCATTCATTATTGCCTTATTCTATTTATTACATTTTATTGGACAAAATCATGTAAAAAAGTCATGTTATTTGTAATACTTCAAAAAAGTATAAATTTTAATAAAAAAAAGTATCTTTGACCGTAATTAATTGATAAAGCTGGTGTAATCCTTTCTGATGATATGATTAATGGTTTGGCAATCCTTTAACTATTAGTTAGGAACCCTTTTAGTTTTACTATATTGTTTCCTCAAGTAGTATAATTCTATTTTTTTTTTAGAGTATATGAAGCTGGAAAGAAAACTGAAGCATTTTGACCAGAACTCGCCTGCAATAATAGTGATTCGGATAATTCAAACAAAACGAATAATTGGAATTAAGATCGAGTTGTGTATTATGAATAATTCGAATAAGAATTTGTTTACGAATTTACGAAATGAATGAGATACGCGCCCACTGATCATTCATTACTAAAATCCTTCAAAATTACGAAACTTTAGAAAGGGAATGTAACAGGTTTTTTTTTCATTTATTATCATTAAAAATTTCTTTCCAAACTAAAAACAATCAATCTGGCCCTCATATGTATATTATGTAATTTTAGAGCTATTTCTATAAATTTAGATTAGGAAGATAGCCAAAAACTCGGATATAAAATATTGCATTATTTCCACAACGTTTCCAGATTATGGATGTAATCCGATGGATCACGAATTATGTTTGTTTTTCTTTTTTTTTAAAAAATAAAAAAACAATGTCTTTGAAAAACAAAAGAAGAAAACAAGAAAACAAATGTGGTACTATCAATGGTAAGCGTTTATCATAAGAATGGTGGTAGTAGTTATCGCCACCTGTCGTCAATTTAGTCAATAAATTAGTTTCAACTAAACCAAAATTATTCGTTCAATTAATACGCTCTTCCAAATAATAATTGGTGACACTTGCAAATTAACATTTACGCAATACTTAATTTCCTGATGTTTTAGAGAAAATGACGAGAATGTCCCGCCATCATTTAGAGAGGAAATCGGGCAGATGAAAAAAAGATCACGAAGAGGCAAAGGAGAAGTTGAAGAAGTGTGAGGATGGAAAATGTAAAGGGGAGAAGTTAAACGAGTTGGAGGAAAAACTAGATAATGAAGAATGGAAGGGCAAGAAGTAGAATGAAAGGTGGGAGAGAGGGTAAAGGAGTTTGAAGAAGAGAAGAAGAAATTAGAAGAAAAAGAAGAAGATTGGAGGAAGGAAGTTAAAAAGTGGGGAGATGAATTAATTAATTATAAAGAAAAGGTAATGAAAAAATCGCATAAAAAAAATATGCAACAAAATTTTCCATTTGAGAATATTTACAATATTAATTAACTTGCTTTTTTTCCTCCGGATTATCTTTCATTTTTCCAAGGAAAAATGAATTATTGAAACACAAACCTGAGGATGACCAAAAAGAAGCATATATTAAAAAAATAAAGGATTCCAAGTTTTCACCTAGTGAAGCTACAAAGCCACTAAACTGGAGAAAAGATTCAATTAGAAGGCTCTGACTTTGCATATTATAAACATAGACCTCACAGATGCCTCTGGAAACCCTGTAACATCACAACATGAGATTATTGCAAAGTTATATGATGATTTTTAAGACATATAAATCCAACTGCTCATGATTATGATTTTGCATTGAAAAATCACCTATGAATGTCAAAAATTACTTTCCCTGTGAAGATGATAGAAGAGAAAGTTTTAAAAATGTTTTTATGAGACATATAAAATGTCACTTAGCCAATACACTTTTAGTAGTAACAATGTCACTACAGATGGAACTATATTTGGAAAAAAATGGAATATCTTATATACAGAAAGGTTCTTTTTTTTGAAATACACATGTAAATTCGATAAGTCGGACATGTCGGGGTGGACTCGTGTGTCCGACTTATCAAGAGATCCGACTTATCAAATTTTTTATAATTTTTAAATTATTTAAATATAAATGATAAACTATTGATATTACAAATGTAAGATATAATTTATTTAAATATAAATGATAAACTATTGATATTACAAACGTTTAAGATATAATTTATTTAAACATAAATGATAAACTATTGATATTACAAATGTTTAAGATAATTTTTTAAATATAATAATAAATGATGAACTATTGGTATTACAAACGTTTAAGATATAAATATAAATGATAAACTATTGACGTTTGACGTAAAAATGTTTAAATACATATATATTATTTGCTATAAAAACTTTCCAAGGTAAGTTGCTTTAGAGATGCATTTTGTTTTCTTCTGATTTGACGTTGTAGGTTTTTCAATCCTGAAATTAATGAACCATTTACTTTAATATCAGAATTTTGTTGAAAATAGTCAAATATATTTTGAATATTATCCAAAGCGACTGTATTTGATATTGGATTGCTTGGAGCTATTTCTTCTTCCTCCTCTTCTGGTGCTTCTTGTACTGAAGCAATTATCTCATCCTCATCAACCATTTCAGCAATTTCTATTCTGGCATCAATATTAATATAATTACTTGCCATGATATCATCAACATTCATTTGATTGATAAGTGATTGGACTGTATTTTCTTCATTTTCTAATTCATTATCTAATTCATTTGGTTCTTCATACATTTCCTCATCCTCATTAGGTAGAATACCTGTTCTTTGCCAACAACGGTATATTGTATCATCAGTGACACTATCCCATGCTTCTGCAGTCCAATTAATTGCATTCAAAATATTTAACCTAGGAATCTCAACACCAAGTTCTTGGTTTTCGTCATATGCTTGAATCCTATCTTGGCATAGTAATTTTCTATAGTGGGCCTAATACAAGAAAATAAAAAGGTAAATTTTTTTATTAAAAACGGGAAAAAATTTTTTTATTAAAACAAGAAAAAATTTAATTTTTTTATATTAAAGAATAATTACTTTGAATGATCTTATTATGCCCTGATCAATTGGCTGAAGATGGGAAGTTGTATTTGGCGGAAGAAAATATAATTTAATATTGCTTAACTCCTCATCTTCTTCTAATTGATGGGATGAAACATTATCCACTAATAATAAAATTTTTCTTTGTTTTTTTTGCATCTCTTTATTAAATTGTTTGATCCATCCTTGGAAAATAGAACGTTGCATCCATGATGAATTGTTCCAGTAATACCATACAGGAAGTGATTTCTTATCAATATTGTGAATACAACGTGGATTTTTATATTTATAAATAAATACTGGAGGTAATTTATGAGTTCCGATTGCATTACATGTAAGCATTACAGTAATTCTATCTTTTGGTTTCTTTAATCCAGTAATAGGTCCACTGGCAAGAGATTTATGGGGTTCCAATTTCCAGTATAGACCAGTTTCATCTGCATTATACACATCTTCTAAATCATATTCTGAAATTATAGATTGTAGCTCAGTTCTAAATGTAGGTAATTCATTTATTGGTGCACTTGCTGCCTCTCCTGATTTATAATATTCTTTAATATTATTTCTTTTTTTAAAATTTGCCATCCACCCCTATTTAAAATCAAATAGATATTTAATAAATTTGATCAATATCATTGAATTATTAAACATAACGGTAGTTATATATAACCGGTTACCAGAGTTTGCGTTTAGATTTGGAAAAAAAAAAAAAACGGGCAAAATTAATTTTTAACTCGAGTAACTGGTTATATAACTACCCGTTACGTTTAGCAACGAAAAGGGATTGATACTTTCTTGTGATGATTTAAAATCAGAAATATTAAGCTTTTGAGCAAATTGCACCGACTTTTGACTCAAGATCGCACCAGTTACTGTATGGTTAGCCTCATTTGCAAGGTTCACCCAAATTGCCAATGCCTCCTCTAACTGTGGCCATTCACCTCCACGATTGCGTTTTTTGTTGGCATCTGTTGAATTTTCTGCAATCGCAAGCCATTTCTCCTTTTCATTAAGGATATCTCCTACAGTTGATTTACCAATTCCAAATTTCTTACCAATTCCTTCATATGTTTGGTTTGGATTGGCGATTTTGTATTCACACAACTCTTTTTTTTGAATATTTGTAAGGGTAATTAATTTTCTTCCTTTCTTGCTTCCAAATTTACTAGATGTTACTTCTGTATCCATAATTATTAAATTTTGATTTATAGTGTTAAAATGATATTATTTTTTTATTATTTATTTAATTTTATTTTTATTAGAAATTCAAGAGGTTAGGAGGTCAACCTTTTATACATATTTCCGAATGTAATTAAAAAATATTAATAATTGTTTTGCAATGTAGACAATAAGTATCTTTCTAAATCAAATGATATAATCAATGATATAACTAATGATATAACTAATGATATAACTAATGATATAATCAATGATATAACTAATGAGCTATAAAATGTAAATGTATTGTTTACAATTCAAACAAGACGTTCTTCCTTCTAAATCAAATAATTTAATAAATGATATAATCAGTGATATAATTGATGATATAAAAAGATAAATATAAACATATTACATACAATACAAACAATAATGTCCTTTCTAAATCATGTTCAGTGATAAAGCTGTAAAAAACATCAAAAACGAGATTATAAATAATGACGAAAATGACGAAATTATTATTAACACGGATGATCTTATGTTACTAAAATAGTAAAGATTTCTTTCAAAAATCACGTGGTCCGACTTATCGAGAGTAATTTATTATTAACTGGCTGGAGAGGTTGTCCGACTTACAGCTTAACGAGAGTTTATATATGTTGTCCGACTTATCAAATTTTTTTAAATATTAAAAAAAAGGGGTGAAAAATTTTGTCCGAGTTAGGCCAAATCCGACTTATCGAGTGTCCGACTTATCGAATTTACATGTGTATACAGTACCCTACCAAAAATGGAAATTTATTATATAAAAAAGGAAATAGTTCAAATTTTTGTAACGTCCTCGTGACAGTTATCTATATGTGACGATTAAACTTGTCAGGCTTGGGGTGGCAGGAGTTATGGAATGCTTACCAACTCCAAAATTAAATTCTTATTTGTCACATATGTTCTGTATATTTCATAAAAAGAATCTTTCTGTATATAGGACCCTTATTTTATTATGCAAACATGTAGCTAATGAATTTTCAACTGATAGTAGAAATACTGTTTGTGTATTGCTATATTTAGCAGGTTAGCATCAAATTTTTCACATTAGTTATCTTGATTTTTCATATGAAATAACAATGGTGATTTACAAAATGTATTGATTTACAGGACCATGCATTGGTATGGCTGGTGCAATTCAAGGAAACAGATTTCTTTGTGATCCATTATCATCTATTCTCCACTTTTGTTCACATGATGTTATCAAGAATACATGATATTAGTAGCAAAATTTTTTGCTGCATATAAAAAAGCATTAGATAATCCTTCTTGTGATGATCCATCCCAACTTTCATTTCCATATATCAGAGCATTCAAAAATTTAGATACAGATTTAAAAATTAATTTTGATATATAAAGCAGTTTATAGAGAAAAGCTATTGTTTTTGGTTGATTGGTTTGTATTCACGGATACTGTAAGGAAGTCACACAGGGTCACACACTATTAAAATCAAGTGTTTTTAAGTGTGTAACCCCCTTAACAGTATTCATGGTATCCGTGAATATATACAAACCCTAGCAAAGATCTTTCAAACCAATTTATTGTTAAATTTACTAGAAAATATGGAAAAGATGCACATTTTGCTAAACATAGCACCAAAGCTATTTGCATCTGAGGAAATTTCAGGTGGTGGTTAATGATAGTAATGGAATATTTGGATGGTTACTACACAATCCCTGAGAATTCTTCAACACAAGTCCAACAACAAATATATACAGCCATGGATAAAATGCATCAAAAAGATTATGTTCATGATGATATATGTGATCAGAATATACTTATCAAATACAGCAATGGTAATACTAAAGTTGTCTTTATAGCAGGGTTGGCAAATGTGTGGTCCATTGATGGTCCATTAGCATAACACTTTAACCATATTTAGTATTTTATTAATGGTAATGGACCAGTCAATTTGCCAACCCGCTTTATAGATTATGATTGGGCTGATGAGAATGGAAAAACAATCTATCTTGCATTTCTGAACCTTGGAATTCCTCATTATCATGATGCCAGCCCAGGTGATTTCATTATGAAAGAACATGATGATGGATTTATGGTGAACAAATACAAAAATTAATAGTTTAATAGTTTATTCAAAATGTATTCTATATTTACCTTTTTTTTTTGATTATATTCCATGAAAATCATGAAAACTAAAACTTTTTTAAATAGAAATATAATTAGATTTTTTTTTAAATGACAAGTGCATAATGATTATATTTATTGGCCTTTTCATTTAATACTGGATATATTCAGTGAAAGAATGTTTTATAGGTGGTATTTTTAAAAAAATTTGTGAAACCATTGATGATTAATATCCATTTGGACTATATCAAATTGGACATGTCCAGACATGAATTGGACCAGGTCCAATTCCAACACTGATAATGTTCAAACTAAACTAAAATCAACTACACTGCTTGATTAGGGTTTCTATTCGAATAAGGTTTATTCAAATTATTTGTTTTACTCATTATGAATTTGAGTATTCAAATTATATTGAAAGTTTATTTAAATAAAATGAATAATGAACAATTTGATAAATGAATAATTCAATAATTCAATAATTTGAACAAAATGGATAGTAATAGTTTGAGTAATTCAAATAATTTGGGTAAAACAAATAATTCAAATAGTTTGGATAAACAAATAAACAAATAATTTGAATAAAATGAGTAATTCAAATAATTCAATTAAAATGCATAATTGGCTAGGTGAACCAACTACTGATAGAATATAGTAGTGACACATGGTATTATAGATGTTATCTTACATGAAATTAAGATCGAAAACTTTAATCAAGCCCAAAGAAGAATAACCAATACCAAAGATAACAATCAATCTGTCAGTTAATATCATGATCACATGATCACCGAAATCTTTGGTAGTACAATTTTCACTTATTTCGAGAACGTAATGACGGCATGATTTTATATGGGGAAACTTCAGCCTATTTAATGTAAATTACAATATAAATACCAATTAACCAACAATATTTTTAATTTTATAAATAAAAACAAAAAATAATCATTTATTTGAAATAGAATTTGAATTTGAAAAAAATATTTGGTGTATGAGCCTTTATTAAAATGGAGCCATGTCATATTCGGAGACAGATGCCAAGTTTTAGAATCATTATGATTTGACATGGTTTTAAAGAGCAAGCAAAGCGTTATTTATTATTTTTATTTCAATTTTGAAAATTAGTGTTATTTTTCGAAAGTTCTTGAATTTTGCAGCACACTTTTAGATTTTAATATTTAATAATGCTACCCGAAAAACATTATCTTGTCCATTATTTATTTTCAGTCGTTTATTTGTCGACACTACATGATATTATTTATTATTGAGTTACGTTGTATTTTGATGTGCGTGTCATTCAATTTGTATTGGTTATTTTACGTAGTATTAGGATCAACAAAGTCTACAAAATCGGCAAAGTATACATGGTATAATAGTAATAGACTTAATCGATAACATCTTCAAAGTTGATAAAGTAGACTTGGCTGAGTTTAATAAAATATTATGTGCACAAACAACTTGAATTCCATGTACTTCACTTTTCTTGAATAATAACAAGTTTCGACTTGAGAAATAATCAAATCATGCCCAAAAATACTCGCTAGTAAATACCCTATTCATAATCATCATTATCAATTAAATTCACTCTCCCAATGACGTCACACTTTATTATAGTAAGGAATATTACCATAAATGGAAATGGATTTATTATTACATGATTTAATTGGTTCATAAATATAAACACCTTGTGACTAACACAAAAAAAAACATTTTCGTAGAAACCTTATTATTATTATTGTTGTTGGAATTAGTATTAGAAATTCATTTACCGAATAATTATTATTTATTTATTTTGTATAACGTTATAATTTGTTTAATTTTATTTAGTAGAAGATTCTGTGTACCTAAAACACGACATTGTGATAAAAGCACCAAGCATCTTGAATTCAATGTACTTTGAAAAGTAACCTTTAACTTTTAACTTAGAAACAAGTTGAATAATAAATTAGTTTGACTAAACAAAACAAATAAAGTATTTTTTTATATAAAATAATAACTCAAATCACAAACCAAAATTATCCGTTAATAAAACTATTCGTTAGTAATAAATCTATTCAATCTGATCCGTATAATCATAATTTATTATTTGTTATCATCAATTAAATACGCTCCCCTAAACATAATTGGTGACATTATTTTTTCTTGTGACTTTATACAAAAATTCTTATTAATAGTGACCATATCAGGCAGTTGCCTACCAACGAGTATGCCCTAATTTTGCTTTTATCCAAATTTACATGTAAGAATTACTACTTCAAGCAATTATATATATATATATATATACTGGACAGCCAGATGTAATCAGCTGTATGAGAATAGATAAATTATTAGAATCAGGTACTTTTAAAATGGAATGGATGGAATGGTTGTTCGATTTTCCATAAATATCTCTTTTAATATTCATCGTAGGAAACAAAAATTTATAAAATTATATATTTATTTATTGTTTTATGAATTATTGTTTTGATCTTTATGTATGTATATATTCAATGGGTAAAGTGAATAATTTAGTTATAATCATATAACATACTGTACATGATCCTAATCTATTATTTTTATTATCAATTATTTTTGAATAGCAGCAGACAAAGGAAAAAATTTATTGAATTTGTATATAATGCTAAAATCATCTATCAGGTTTCTTGTGTTGCTTAATCATGTAATTTGGAAGTTACATAACCAATTAATAAAGCTCCAGCTATGTTTTTCTGGTTTTCTTTTTCTGTCCGCCGATCAACGATAGAAATTAATATTAATAATTAATTAATATGCGAATCCGAGATATGGATCACAGAATCCAAAATTGTACATAAATTCAAAGATTGGTTGTGGCAAACCCCCAAAAATGAATAAAAGATATTTGTTTTATCATTCAATCTGCATTGGAGTGAAAGCACAATTTTCTCCTAAACAGTAAAAAGTATACATTGCATATTGCAAAGGTTACATGGATAATGACGTTTGTCCAGAACTAGATCTTTACCTAAGGAAAAGTTTTCTCCAGTGCAAATTCAAAAATTATCAAAAGTAGAAATAACTAAACCTCAAACTTCTATTTCAACCAAACCAAATATACCTGGACTTCAATTCCTAAAAAATAGGTGATCGTTCATTTTAAATAGCATTTTTTGTAAACAAGAGGGGCAGAACAAAATTTTCTAAAAAAAAAAAACAATCGCCATTTTACAAGGATTTTTTCATTCCGGTAATGTTGACAAAAGTGATCGTTATAATACCAAAGTATGTATTGAAAATGACTGAAGAAGATAAAATAAGTCAAGAATAGAATCCAAAACTAAAATCCATACAAGTTGGATTACTTGTTGTTCTGTAGCATACAAGCTGAATCAAGTGAATAATTTGTAATAAGTTTTTTTTTAATTTGATTATTTGTTATCATATCACTTTATATATTTCATAAAAATAATCATTAAAATTAGCTACATTGTTTTTGTAACGTTGTAATTACGTTATTTTTCGAATCCATAAATTTCTTTTGTATTTGTAGTAAAATTATATAAGAAGTTCCTACCACAAAACCGCGTGATTTCATGTGACTTTGCATAATGAAAGTATAATATGCAACTTTTATCACTTGATACACTTTCTTATGACGGGCCACGAATTAAATGAAAAGGTCTACGTAGAATTTAATTTTCTTTTAGAAATTTTAATACTTGGACTATATCCGAAGGAGAAAATGTAGAATTAAATATATATATATAAATTAATAATTAAAAAATATTAATTTCTTGTGACAATCTATTTCTGCTGAATCGGAAAATGATAATTCTGAAGAAACTTTTGACATGATAGGTAATTCATGTTTACCATACAAAAGGGTCAACAGTTCTTAAATTAAATTTTTTTTCAAACTCATCATGTTCTTATTCAAATTATTACAAGTCATCAAATAAATCATTAAAAATAATTTTTGTCTATTGGAATTTATTCCTAGTGGTAAATTCACGAGTTGGGCCAATTATTTGAATAATAAATGAATTTTTTTTGAAACGAGCGCTACTTTTTTGAGTAAAGATTGGCACCACTACTACCATGAATACCGCGCGGTATCCGGAATTCATGTGAATACAAACAAACTAGGCTTAAAATTATATTAGTTTGATAGCTCACGTCCTCTCTAAATTTTAAAATTTTTGCCATACGATGTACTGTGTAACCGAACTCTACCCGTGCCTTGGAAGATTGTATGTTACATCAACTTCCAACCATATATATATATATATATAATGGCGAATTTGTATTAATATTGCAACAACCAAAATTATTCTTAAAAAATTTCTTCATTTATCAATTTATTAGCTTAATTAAATGAATTTCGGCGGCTCGATTCAAGTAATCAATTTTATAATTATGTGACTTCTAGGGAATTCATTCAATAAACGATAAACACAAATAACTTGGTAATTTATTTTATAATGTATAGTTACCCGCTATTACACCAAAACCTACTATACAAAACTTTATAGGTAATGTTTCTTGTCTCTTTTTTAAAAAAGAATTTATAATGTTTGTATTTTCTTTAATAACTATAAATAATTTGTAGATAGAGCTTGTAATCCACAATTAGTAGAACCAGATTTAGCTTTAAATTTGGAGATAGCAGATTTGATTAATCAGAAAAAACAAAATTAGTAAGCTTCATTAAAGTTATTAATCAGTCAACCAATTAATCGATTAATCAATCAAGTGGTTGGCTAGATAGTTACCAACTCGCAATTAATACCCATTTTTTTTTTTCCTGATCAAAAAATGTTTTCTAAAAGTCCACGAGATGCTGCCATGCATATAGTCAGACTTGTGAATCATCGGCATCCGACTGCAGCCATGTTGGCTTTAATGGTATTTATAATTTATGTAATTATATAAAGTTATTTATTTATATAACAATCTTTATTTACTATTGTTGTTTTTGTTAGCTTTTGGATATTTGTGTGAAAAATTGTGGGTATCCTTTCCATCTACAAATAGCAACCAAAGAATTTCTGAACCAACTAGTTCGTAAATTTCCTGAAAAATCACCTGTAAGAAAAAATATTATATATTTATTTATATATATCGCCAATGTTGTATTGAGTTTTAAAACAATTCAGCAAATTATTATTATCATCATCAGCATCCTCATTGGCGATTCTTTCTTTAATAGGCTATTCCTAATCCAATACAATTAAAAATATTGGAATTTATTCAAGAATGGAAAATCACAATTTGCACAACTTCTCGATATAAAGATGACCTCGTCCATATCAATGATATGTATCGTTTATTAGTATATAAAGGTATATATATAATCTTGTAGTGAAAAACGCACACACATAGTTCAAATTTAGTCATCAATCAATTTGTAACATGTAGGTTACATATTTCCTGAGGTTGATAATCGATCTGCATCTGTTCTTATCCCTAAGGAGGTGACTTCAATATGATTTTCTTTCAATTATTTTGATTATAAAAATTACTCAATAATATAAAAATATGTATATTATACAGACATTGAAATCACCTGAAGAATTAGAGGAAGAAGACAGAGTTGCTCAAGCAGCGGTAGAGTAATCTATGTGAACATTCATTAGTACAGTTAACTTATAATTAATTACTTAAATGTCATTTAGAAATTACAAGAATTAATTCGTAGAGGTAGACCTGCAGATCTAGCAGAGGCTAATGAACTTATGAAAATTATGTCAGGATATGTAAGAAAGATATATTATTATCTAGTTATTTTATATATGTGTGCGTGTGTGTATGTTAGAATTTGTATAAATCATAATATTATTATTATTAAATAATGTTTAGAATCAAGAGGCAAAACCAGATTATAAAAAACAGGCCAATGAAGAGTTGGAGAACATACAACAAAAAGCTATACTTTTAAATGATATGTTAAATAGTGTCAAACCCAATGAAAAAATTGGTAGAGGCGATATATTCGAGGTGAAATAAAGATTATTTGTTTGTTTGATTTATTTATTATTTTTTTTTTTTGCATTGTTAATAATTGCATTATATTTGATAATGTAGGAATTAGTACAATTATGTAAAACTTCACAACCGAAAATTCAAAAAATCGTTTCCGAAGAGGAAGATCCAGAGAGTATTAGTTAGTATTATTGTATTTTTATGCAATTTAAAAAATCACATGTCATTCATTTTTTTTTACAAAATGTTTTTTGTGCTGAACGTTTTCTCCCTTTACGAAATAGATCGTCTTTTGACCTTGAATGATTTGATTAACACCGTTTTGACAAGATATGAAAACATTTTAAAAGGAATATTTGATCAACCTAAAGAACTGAACCAACAATCTCTTCTACAACCAAAAGCAAAGGAAGAAATAATATCCTCTTCATCTGCAGTGTAATATTACAGTTTCATATTATTACAATGCCTATATTATACTATACTATATGGTATTAATTCTGTATACATATAATCATAGAAGTAATTCCGATTCGTGGTTAATTGATTTGAGCGAACCTGAACCACCATTAGGCCAAATTAGAATCACTTCAAATACGAATACAACAACTTCTTCTTCTTCAACAAATGAACCGATATTAAACAATTCAACTTCTTTTGATAAAGGTAATTCTTGTATATATTGATATTTCCTTTCGCAATAAATGATTAATATTCCTTTATTACTATAAAAACCAACAGATGATGATTTATTAGGATTTTCTTTCAACTAAATTGTGTATTGTAATTTGAAATTAAAATTTATCCACACACACACTTGTTACTGCGCCAGATAGATAATAATTATAATAACTTTAAATTGTTGTAAAATAGTAAAATAGTAAAATAAATAAATCATTAATGGTTAAGTTAACGAATAAATCAACGAATGGTTATTTTTAAATTATTTGTGACCTGATTCAACAAATATAGATTAAATGTATATATGTGTATTGTTATCAAAGTTTGTCGGGTTTCTGCAAAATAATATTATCCTTTCATGTCTTTTATGTGCATAATTTTTTCAATTGAAAGCTAATATGCAGGGAGAGAATAAAAAATTATTAGTGTGATTGGACAATATTAATTTTTTAAAATTAGCTATTTTTAATAACTAAGTGTTTGAGGTTTCTTCTTATATATATATATTGTGCGAATTATTTTTTAATTTCCCCAATTTTTATTAACATTGTTTTTTTATTGATAATAATAACTTTTTTTGGTGGAATAATAATAATAAATAAAAAAGGCGAGTTCTTAATATTGTTATTATTTTTTCAGACAATAATAACAATAATGAATAAATTTGAATAAATTTGGAAATATTTACATCATTTAATTACTTTTTAAATTTGGTAAATAATAAAAATTTCAACAAACAATTGTAACCGTTTAATATTATCATTATGATAATGAATGATAAAATTTCGTATATAAATAAACGTAAAATTTTTCATCAAATATTCAAAATATCAAAGTTAACTAACTAACAATTCAAATTAATTACTTGCATTCAATTACTCTTCTCTATTTAAAAATTAATTCGTTCAAATCATAATTGTTTACCCAAAAAAACCACATAAAATTTTTATAAAAAAAATCAAATTTTTCAATATAAAATAAAGATGATTATTCCATTACCACGTACGTAATATATCCAAATTTTTTGATATTTTTGAGAATTTAATAATAAATAAATCATTTACTAAATTTAATAAAATCAAAACTTTTTTTATAGATTTAACAATCTTAAGTATCGTTTACCAATTTCAATACCTGATTCAAATCTCTTTCATATTTGCAATTGCATCAATATTCTTTTGTTATATTAGTAAGTATTTTATTATTGTTGATGATACTGCTATTTGTACATATAAAAAAATGTGAAATTTTCTCTTTGTTTATCACGCGTAAAAAAAAATAGATTTATTTACAAATAATATTCGAATTTCTAGATCCTATAATAAAGTCAATCTCTGATGGTTCTATTCCAATCATAAATTCACACGAAGACACATTATCTCTTGGGAAACGAAAAGAAATGGAAAGACAAGAACAAAATGCTGAAAACAATATCAACAATAATAATAATGGTGATGATGATAACGATAATAACAATCACAATTTTAATAACCATAATATAAACATATTACAATTAGAATTTAATAATTTAGATATAGAAAATCTTCTTAATATTTTAAATATTTTACTTCGCATACCGTTAAGGATAAGTTAAGAATATTTTCTATATCATGTATAATTAATTATAAACAATTTGTTAATATTATCTTCATTATTTTCATTATTCATTTATTTCATTATTCTCATTATTCATCATTATTACTATTGTTTTTAATTTTTTTTTTAATTTTTTTTTTTTATAATTTTAGTTAGTGTAAATAATAACCTTAATTTTTTTTAGTAATAGTAACGGAATTTTTTTTTTTTAATTGTGTTTGGTAACACCCTTGTAATTGTTTATTTATTGATTATTTAAACATTAAATACACACGGAGTGTTCTAAAAAAAATTTTTAAAATTTTCGTATATATATATATATTAATATATAATGCAACAACTGACTCTTAACCCGAAGCCTTTCGACTCAGCATAGAGATGATTTTTCGAAAAATCCGCCAGTAAATTTGTTCATTGAGGTAAGCTCTACAAAGTTACCGGATGGTTTTCTCAGAAAATGTCTCCGAAAGGTTTCAAAGTTGTGGTACGTACTGTACTTTTTATAAATCCTCCAAATTTGATATATCACATGATATATATATCACGTGAATGGTTTTGGGATAATGAAGTTTTAATATTATATATTATATATAGTGTGATAAAAACATTGATACCTTGTTAAGTTCCGCTGTCATTTGCTGTTGCTTAAAGTCAGAGAAACATCCATTTTCAAAAAATTAATTTAGATAAATTTAATTTTGTTTGTTACACTGCATTAAATGAAACTTATTCACGTGATACTAATACTAAATTTGAAAAGTGTCTCCAATCAGGTTCATTTTTATACGGGAATCCTTTCATATCATTATAATCAATTCACATATTCACTATTTAGCAGACCAAATTAAACCCAACAAATAATAGAGCACATTCAGGTTTGGTATGGTACGGCCTTTACAGCCAGTGCACTCAACCAGAATTATTAAAATTTACATACATTATTTGTTAAAACCTATGCTACGTAATGACATAAATTTTTGTATTTTTATCATGCGAGCTTTGAACAATTAGTAGAGACAGACGACGTGTTATCAAATATTTCGTCCAGGTAGTGTATAGTGATTCGTGTATATTTGTTCATTCGTTTATCTGCAATTCTTCAATCCATCATCTGGTCACCACACAAAAAATATATTAATATCTGTCAGATTCAGCAGATTGAACGGATAATATTGTTATTATCATATTATAAATATTATTAAAAGCAATAATGATAATTTTACAATAATCCATAAATTTAGTTTAATAAAATATAAACAAAAAGCAAGATAATTTAGAGCTCAAAATGTTTTTATAACCTATGTTTAAAAGCAAGGTAAAGATATGACGATGTGAGACATCCAATTTATTAGTACATGAGCATTTCGAAAAACCACAAAATCGCAACACGTTTGAGCAATAAATTCATTTCGAATGAAAAATTATGATAACCATTGTAATGAGAAACTTTTCGCTTAATATGCAAGTCATGCTTACTTGACTGTTTTTGAAGACGAAGCGCGAGAAGTAAAACCAGAAACAATTTAGCCTTTGGAAATTTTAAAACTTTAATTTTGTAAACTCCAAACAAGTTTGAACGGAATAATAATATCTCTCTGTAATCCAATGACTTTTTAAAAAAGTCATTCGTCAATCCAGATTGTTTTACAAATATCCCCCACAGCTATCATCACTAATACTGATTTATATAAGGCAACTGCATAAAGATGGCGTGGGGGCTGGTTAGTTGAATTACAACCTATCAGGATTAAACAGTTACGTTCAATTTTTGCTATTTCTTTATAGAGTGTGGAAATTGAAGAACACAAGAGGCCACAGATAATAATATGCTGGCATAGTTAGAGATGTGCCATGTGCATGATAAGCAATAGATAAATTTGTGAAATAATAAACTTGGTCAAGTATCAGGTTTTCAGCAATCTCATGCACAATGCAATATTGTAACTATGAAATAAAGGCTGCTGTTGATAAATGTGTTGTGCATTTTAGAATTAGTTCAAGGGTAACTATAACAGCTCTCCAAGGGTATTTTCAACCCAATGCAAAGCAATCTAACAATTCTCATTTACCAATAGAACAAAAATAATATAATCAAAAATTCATCAATCAATAATTTTGTTGATGAAATATCTTTGATTTTATGTTTCTAATGTAACTTACTAAGTTGTAAAATAATAAATATAATAAATGCAAACATAATATTTTTTTAACAAAATTTTTGCATTTTGCCCATCCCTAGGCATAGCTATACTTTAATAAAAAGAGCCAAAAATTATAATTACTTTTTATTCGTCATCATTACCATCATCATTGTTTTCTGCTGCTATTACCAATTCACGTTGAAATCTTTCAGCAAATTCAATCACAGTTTGACCTTGTGAAAAATCAATGACTTCTCGTGGATATCTATTTACTGAAAAATTTTGATTATGAAATTGGCTTGCTTCTATCTGTGAGGTTACAATTCTAAATAATGTCAAAGAAGATAATGTTTCTATTTTATAATTTTCAACCAACAATGGATAAATTAATAGATCAACCAATAATAATCAACCAATAATAATTGAAGATAGTTAAGATCACCTACCTGACAAGATTTCTTCCCATGAATATAAAATACTATCTGTCATAGATCCAAATGGATTAAAATCAATCAACCAAACTCTCTCTCTATTACGAGTAACGTAAACATCAAATACGTCTATTTAATGATTGATCAATGTGTTAATAATAATAAATAATATTATTTAAAGAAATTAAAACACTAATTACATACAATATGGATTATAAAATTTATTTTTTATACAAGTATTAAAAAAATCAATGATTTTTATTTTTAATTCTTCTTTAATTTCATTTAAAAATGGATAATAAGTTATATCTCGTTGAGAAATAGCTAATATTAATTAATAATAATAATTAATAAATTAATAAATTGGTATTTAAAATAATTCTTCATATATTTATTTACCAACAAGTTCCTCATTTTTAACAAAACATCGAAATTCCATTGAAGGTTCCATATTACACCATTTACGTATCACCAATTCAAATTCGAATTCATTTGACCTTTGTCTTAAGATTTCATCATTGTCACTATCTTCACTTTCTTCACCTTCTTCATTATTATCATGATTACAACCATCAAACGCATGATCAAGATCATATGCAATAAAATCGGATGATTTAAGTAATAGAAAGATATCTGATGCTGAATTACATTTAAGCGTGTTTGTTGATGAAATCCAAGTCGCATCCTATAAATTATATATATATTATTGTTATGAGTGTTAATCCATATTGAGAAATATAGAAATATTTATTAAAGTTGCTACTACTCTTGGTGAACTCCAATTTAGTTTTGGAAAAATTGCACCGCCAAATTCTTCTATTATTCCTATTATTTGTTGTTCTAAATCAGGAAAACTTGGAATTGCTTGCTGTATAAATAAATAAATAATATGTTAAAATATTTATTTATTCACTTTCTTTAAAATTCATTTAAAATTCACACATTTTCAATATTGTCAGCTTCTTCTTCGTTATCATCTTCCTCCTCATCACTTAGTTCGCTTCTTTCAAGATAACTGATAAATTATAAATTACACAAATAAATAAACTCTAGGAAAAAATCTTTTATAAATTCTATCAAATAGTATAACAATAACAACTCTAATAAATAAATAAATGAGTATACTCTTCTTCTTCAGGAAGAAATACACTGTCAGCATGTAAATAATCTATAAATTCTTTTGATAAAGGTTTAATTATTTTGGATTTTATGGTAACACTTCTAAATTTATTATACCATGAAGAAAATGAACAATTAACTATATGTTGTTTTGTAAGTGGAGGAAATAAATCCAATCCACTTTCAACACTTGATACAATATTTTCTCTTGTGTTGGTAGCTACTGGCATTTTTTTTTACCACAGATTGGTTGCAGTTGTCGATATAACCATGTGATAATGATCACCAAGCATTATATAAAGAGGATCACATGATACACCCCAAATTTTTGGTTGGCTGATAAATTGCATCACACAGAAAAAAGATTATATGAAAACTTATCAGCTCAAATTTTGACAACTTCTTTTGCTTGAATATTATTTAAGCTTTTTTAGTCACCAAATCTGCATTACAATACTTAGACTCGCCTACTACTTTTGTTTATATCTCATGCATAAAGAGCGAAATATCCATCACCTTCTACTACACCATCACATTAAATTAACATTTATTAAAATTAAAATAACTATTCTATTTTTTAACATTAAATTTATCACATAAAGCACTTGGGAAAATTGTAAAGACTTCAACGCTACCTAATGCGTCAGTACAAATATTTTGTTCCAACAAATAATGATAATGGTAATTCATTAATAGTGTGTCTGTTCTTTTTTTGTTTTTAGAGCAGCTGGTTTAACTTACTAATTAGAAGAAGTTGTGATGATATTACTGATCTTTTTGATATTATGAATTTACTTTCATACAACTTACAAATGTAGTATAAGGTCTCAATGATGATATTTATATAATTTGTTTTACATCTAGGTTAGTGGGAGAATCAATCTTTTTGGTTTCATCATTAACTTCTGAATAAATTAATGACCTTTCAGAATTAGAGGAATGTCATTAGTTTTGTAGAAATTGTTCTAGGCTTTTGAGCGTTGGCATTAATAATTGACACCAGTATCAAGGTACAAAATTCGCTAACCAGGCAACAAGGCATGGTATTTTATCATCTGATTCTGAAGAAAAATATGCTTCAAAAATTTATTATTTATCAAGTAATTAAAAAATTTATTTTTCAAATAAAATAACCTCTAAACCAAACCTAAGCTCACTATTTTTTTATAATAAATTAAGTTTTTTATATATAATTAATAAACTGAATAAATGAATAATCAATAAATAAAACAGATAAAACAAATAAATAAGTCTGAAATGCATTGCAAAATAGGATCTTTACAAAGATGTCAGACCCTTGATATTTTAATTATTAATATTAAGGTGGTACATAATCACTCTCATTATAATAATAATAAACAAGAGCAAATGACGATACTGATATGTTTTTTTGAGAATTTCAACCGCGGAGTTATTTGGTTGGGTTTAACTATGTCTTCGACATACCACGAATAGGACAAAAAAAGCAAAATGAGTCAAATAATGATGCATATGGCTTAAGGCGAGTCACTTCTTCATTGTTTTATCATTGATTATACAAACTCGCTTTATTTTTTAATTTTCAGTTATGAAAAACAGATATGAAATTAGATCCCGATTGTTGTCAATCAATTCATTTTATATGTCATCATTAATGATGCATTTTGGTATTTAACATTAATAATTAATATCAGTCATTATATTTTATTGGACAAAGTCATGTAAAAAGTCATGTTGTTTGTAATACTTCAAGAAGTATAAATATACTTGAAATTTCCTTCAAATATACATTTAATAATAAAAACTAT